GCCAGTTGGCAGAGAGTGGGCGTGGGCAAGGAGGCTGGGCATGACCGCCTTGACCACTGAGCAAGCACTTCACTGCTCTAGGTCTCCTTTTCCTCATCCATATGATGTGAGGACTTGGGGAGCTGGTCCAGAGGGGTCAAGTGTTTCCCCCAAGGCAGGCAGAGGGCCAGGAATTAACAGTGAGAGCTGCTGCTGCTGCTCCTGGTGGTGATATCATCCCTGGCTTGGAATCGGCCAGGTCACTCAAGCGGCAGGGGGCCTGCATTTGGGAGAAAAATAAAATTGAAAATCCTATCTAGGTGACACGAATCTGTGGGCGGGCGGCCCCTCCTGCTCAAGCCGGTTACCATGCCGACGGTGTGAACGCCGTCTCTCCAGAACAATACTAGGGCTTCTTTGTAACACGTCCCTTGGTGTCCAGACTTCACAGGGAGCTCAGAGTGTCCCAGAGAGGGGAAAGAAAAAATAAAAGCAGGACGTGCCTTTTCTGGGTCACCTATTCACTGGGCTCCGGCGGAGGGTTCTGGTGATGCTTTGGAAATCCAGTCCCGCGTGAGAAACAGTCGTTACCAATGGCTCAGGGTAGGGCACGGCATGGAACTCTCTACAGCTGTGATGGCTGGTGCAGGCGGGGTGGGAACTTGCCCTTGCTGATCCCCAGCCCTAAGAAACAGGGTTCTCCTAACAGGTGGCTTTCGCAAGGGTGCTCAGCTGGTAACCGGCAGAGCAGACCCAAGCCCAGATCTCCGTCACACACATGTATCGGTGGGGAGAGTGTTGCTCCGTTCCCCGGGTGAGACCCTGCTAGGTGAGGATGCAGCGCACTTGGCCCCTGCTCTGGGCATCTGCTCCGAGCTCGAGGGGCCACACACGTGTGTCTGACCTTGATCATCAGCCCCCATCCCCAGGTTCAGCGGCCCTCTTGGAAATTGCTCAGAAGCAATGTTGCTTGATGGTACTTTGAGCTCTGGGAGTAGGTGACCTAAGGTGGTCATCTCGGTCTCTGTTTACAAGACTTTAGGGAGCAGGCTGCTCTCCCTTGAGGGTGAAGGAGATGGATGCTGGTAAGTGTGTAGGCTATAAGAGGGGGGGCTTGTGTGTGCTTTTCACAGTCTGAGTGACCACTAAAGGGGAGTCACACCTTGACCCCTTCTCAGCTACACCTCAAGACATCATGGGGCCATCAGGCCCAGGAGGTGGATAGATCTGAGCTTGAATCCTGGGTCTGCTGACTACCAGCTGTGTGATTTTATTCAAGTCATGGAATATCTTCAAGCCAATTTCCTCATCTGTTAGATGGAGGTGGAGGTCCTAGCAACCTTACAAGCCTATCTTGAGGGAAAAAATATGCCCATCTCTGCAAAGCCCCGGGCCCAGTGCTAGCAATGGGGTAGAAGTTCCCTTCCTTTCAAGAGCAGGAGTGGATGAAGTCACCCAGGATAGGGCAGAGGGCCTGGAAAGAGTTCTGAGAGGCCCTAGCATTTCTGTGTAGGCAGAGAAGAGTCCACACGGGAGACAGAGGAGGGGTGGCTGGAGCAATACAGAGGAGCCAGGAGAGGCAGGGTCATGAAAGCTAAGAGGAGAACCTGCTAAGGAGGGGTGAGCAGTTGTACCAAGTGCAGAAAAGAGGGCCAGGAAGGGGAGGACTGTGCAGTGACCTTGGACTGGTGGGCACAGCGAGGGCTAGCCAGGTGCAGGAGTGGGTGTAGAGCCAGAGTACACTGGATTAAGGGGTGGGGGAGGTGGAGACAGTGATGTTTTGTGAGAAGTAAAGAAAAAAGCCTTATGGGAGAACCACTGTCCCCCATTTGACACGTATGAATGCCCCAGTCTACCTGATTTTCACTGTTCTGAAATCACTCTCAGTCCAACATGATCAGAAGCCAGAAGGGCTCAAATCCATCTAAGGACTGGAAGGCACTGTGGAAGCACCCCCTAGTGCTTGCCCTCCTCCTACCTCTCACAAGAACCCATCCTCTTGGGGCCCACGATGTATGATAAATTAGTATCTATCACTCTTTGGGGCTTCCGTGGTGGTTCAGACAGTAAAGAATCTGCCTGCAATGCTGGAGAACCGGGTTTGATCCCTGGGTCGGGAAGATCCCCTGAAGAAGGGAATAGCAAACCACTCCACTACTCTTGCTTGGAGAATTCCAGGGACAGAAGAGCCTAGGGAGCTACAGTCCATGGGGTCACAAAGGGTCAGACACAACTGAGCAACTAACAGTCACTCATCACACACCTTAAAGATATTCACTAGGGGAAAGATCAGCTTGGTTCCTTAACCTTGATTCCATTTGTAGTTAGCAAAGGTGACTTCAAAGCATGGAGAAGCCTGGGGTGGGGGCTTCCTTCCAGACACACGCTCAAATGCTGTGTCATGGGTCCTCACTGCAGCATCACAGCAGGAAGAAGGCCCAGGAGATAGCGGACTGAGCGTGGAGGCCCTGGCTCTGCTGGCTGTGCACACTGGGGCCAACCCCTCCTCCCTGAGACTTCACTCTCCCCGAATCAGGATGAGGGCTCAGACAGTGGTGAATCTAAGGGTCCTGCTAGCTCTGACATTCCAGGATTTCTCCTATTCTACAGTGCTTTTCAAGTCTAGTTCTACAGGTGGTAAACAGGTCCAGAAAAGGCCCAGTCCACAGTCCCTCTCTCTCCCTTCTTTTTAAATAATTTTTAAAATTTAGTTTTATTTTGACTGCACTGGCTCTTCATTGCTGCTCTGGCTTTTCTCAGGTTTGGTGAGCAGGGCTACTCTCCAGTTGGAGTGTGTGGGCTTCTCACTGCAGCGGCTTCTCTTGTTTCAGAGCACAGGCGCTAGGCACATGGGCTCCGGAGTTGCAATTCCCAGGCTCCAGACCACAAGCTCAACAGCTGTGGCACACAGGCTTAGATGGCTGTATGGCATGTGGGGACTTCCAGGATCAGGCATTGAGCCCACGTTTCCTGTATTGGCAGATGGATCCCTTACCACTCAGCCACCAGGGAGGCTCTCCCACCTTTTAAAAAACATTTATTGGCTGCACCAGGTCTTAGCTGTGGCATGTGGGATCTATTCTCTCACCAAGGATGGAACCCTGGCCCCTGCAATGGGAGCGTGGTGTCCCAGCCACTGGACCACCAGGGAAGTCCCTTTCCTCTCCATTCTAATGCATCTGACTCTGCAGAGCAAGATTCTGGACCCAAGATATCTCTCCCATGCCTCTGGTATTTCTCAGTCACCCAAGGGGAAAGCCTCAGATCTTCAGTCTGGCATTGAAAACAGTCCATGATCTTGTTCTACTCAACCTCAGGCCCCACTGCCAGGCCTCTCTCCTCACTGCCAAGCCCTCACCCTTGCTGGACCCCACTCCCTAAGACCTTTTCCCTGACTTACCTCCTTCAACGTCTAGCCCACCTGCTCTTAAGTACTTAGGTCTCTGCTTCTCAGAGGCAGGCACTGTATCCTACTCTGTAGCTACTCCTTTCCCCAGTACTGAGCATGCAGTGGGCGCTCAATAAGGTCCTCAGCGAGCAAAAGGCCCCTCCCTTCTCCTTCGCTTCCCTTGGCATGTTGTATTAAGTCTGGCCAGGCTTCAGTCACTGGGATTTTCCTCCTTTGCCCAGGGCCTGGCTCAGGGGTCCTCAGCGTGGAACGCCAGGACTGGGCTCAGTGAACGTCCACTCTCCTCTTTCCCACAGGGGGAATCATGCCACAATTTACAGGTGGTGTAACCTTGAGCATGTCACTATTTCGGCTTTGAAAGATGGGGAGGCCAGCAGTGCCCACGGGGGTGGGGTTGTGAGCATTAAATAGCATCGTGCCTGTAAGGGCCTAGCACCGGGCCAGCTCCTAGCAGGTGGGTGGTGTTACCCGTTCCAGCCGGGCCACTCAGTCCCTCCTCCCGTGGTGGAAGGGCCAAGGCCACCTCCCAGGATGGGGACCCCCTGAGTGAACGTGCGTGGGGCTGGCTGTTCCTGAAGACTGGACCCCACCCCGCCCGGCCAGCGCGGACCCAAGCGCAGGGTGTGGCCCACAGAAGCCCAAAGGCCAGGGTGGGCGGGCGCGAGTCTGGTTCGCCCGCCCCTCGGGCACGCGGCCTCCTGGCTCTCCCAAGCACAGAGTCTATTTGCTTTTGGGTCCCTCCTCAAGCCAGACGTCTATCCTGAACTCAGAGCCGCCTTTCTGGATGGGGCCGTGACAGTGCGCGGCCTGCGGGGCCTCCGTTACCGCGCTCCGCTACCCAGCTCCGCAGTCCCCACCCCAGGTCTCCCTTCTCGCACCTCCACCTCTGCGGCGGTAAAATGCAGCACTCGCACGGCGCCTGCGCGACTCTGGGGCGGGGCGGTGGCCGCAGCTATTTATAGAAGGTGACGTCACCTTGAAATAGACCGTTAGGGCCGGGCCGCCCTTCCCCCCCTCCCACTCGCGCCGCTCCGCGCCGCACGGCCCGGCCGCTCCCACTGCGCAGGCGTCCTCTCGTCCTCCCATCCCCCGCCCCCCGCGCGGCCGCCTGTCCTCCCTCGGCGGCGTCCGCGGCGTCTTGGAGCCCGGAATGGGGGAGGGTGCCCGGGGGGAGCCGCATTCCTCCTCCGGCCCGTTCCGCCAGGCTGGGGCACCCCCTTTCGCTTTCTTCCACGCACCCCAACTTGTAATAAAGAATCACCTAGTGAGTGGCGCCCTGTCTCCACTGGTTTCCGCTGCCACGACCCGAAGTGGGTGTAATCCCGATGCGCTTTCGTTCTGCTCGCCGGAACCGCTCTAGTTCCATCCTCCCACGCCCGGGGTCCGCTTTGTGTGCCGAGACCCCTACCCTGCAGTCAGGCGAGGGCGTGGGGCCCCCTCCCATGTCGGATGCTGCGCCCGTCTGCCTGGAACCCCAAACGGGTTGCGACTCCTGGGCGAGCTGAACCCATGTGCCTTTGCCCTCCCGAGATCCTCGGAGACCCGCCTGCAGCTCCATTTCCGGGGAAGGAATCGTGGCCGGCCACACCCTGGCCAGTGCCTTGGATTAGACACCACCTGCGTGTCTGAGACCTAGAGTTCCAGCGATCCCCTCACTGCTCTGTCTCCTCGTAGTGTTTCACGTCTTCTCTAAATGATCATTTCTTCTCTCTGCGTCAAGGTCACAGGGCTAGAGCACAGTCGGCAACCTGCCCTGTTCACCCAGCCACAACCTCCTGAGACAGGGGCGGATCCTCTGGGGCCCCACCCTAGACCTGCAGACTCAGATACTCGGGGTGGGGGTGGGGGGCCTCAGAGCTGCCCTTGACCCATCCCTCAAGGCAAGTGCCAGTTGGTTTAAGTTCAAGAATGACTGTCCCGGGTTATTTAGCTCCTTTGCCCTTTTTTCGTGCCTTGGGAGGAGATTTGGTACTGAAAAATCCTCAAATACAGTGGCTCCCTAAAATTTCAGAGTCATGTGAAAAGCTCCTTTAAGATTTTTGTTATTAATACAAAATCTGCTGTTGTGAAATCTGTTGTTGGGGTCCAAATTTAGGATCATCCAGGTAAGAAGGGTACTTGAAGCACTATCTTTCCCATGTCCTCTACATCATACCTTGAACCAGGTGTCTAAAAACCACCATCACCACCGCCTATTTGTTGACTCATTGGTTATCTCCAGTTGAGCCCAAGCAGGGTGTTATGGGCTAGATAAGAAGGAGCTTTTCATCCAGGCCAGGCACGATGTAGGTTTGGAACCTAAAGTCTATATAATTCTGAGAGTTTCATAAGAAAAAAAAAAAAGATTTAGTAATTTAGCAGATTTTACAGAAATAAGACTGACTATGAGTGCATTTCCTCGCAAGGGGCCCTGAGCTTAATCTTTGGGATCAAGCCACTCCTGTCCACTCTGCACATCATACTACAGCACGCCTCTTCTCCCTCGTCCCTGAGTAGCCCCGGGGTTGTGCAGGTTGAGACCACTCTCTGGACACTTTAGTGAGGCACTCACCTGTCCGGCCAGTGGGACCTGAAGACTGCAGTGTTAGAAGCCTTCTGGGGACTAAAAGAGGGTCTGGAAACAAAGTGATTGAGATTACAGGAAAATGACTAGAAGGCAGTTGTGGAGCTGTGGGAAACAGGAAATTTGAAATGAGAAGTAAGGAGAGAGTGCAGAGATGTAACAGGAAAGGAATAGAATTTGCAGAGAAAAAATAATTGGTTTTCTGCTCCTTGTAAGCAGGCTTGAAAAATGCTTTCCTGTAGCTTCCTACGTGTGGCCACAGATTTTCTCTGAGACATTAAGGAAGGATTTTGCAAACGTGTATTGGAAAAAATATCGGTATCAGAGATGATTGGTGGGTTGGTTAGGCTCGGGTTGGGTAGGCTCCTGAAAATTCAATCCAAGCTCTAATTATGTCATCTCAGAATTGTGAGAATCATTCCCTCAAGGTAACTGCTATTAAAACGAGAACTTTTTGGTCAATATGCCTGTTTCTTCTATTAAAGAAATTTTTTTTCCTCATCTAAATTAATGGATATATTTATTGGAAAGGACTCAGCAAGGTCAGTGGAAAACTTTCTCACATTTTACCTAAGTTGACGTTTGAACGTTAAATTTTTAATGTTTTTTAGAAGGCTTGGCCCCTATTTCACTGATATCCTAGGCCTAAAATACAGCTTTGGGATTGGGCTTCTGTTAACTCTCTAGGTTTATGGGGTTTCTTCAGGGCAGGTAAGTAGACTGCTGTAAAGCACCTGAGTGAGGCAATGCTCTGATGCAGCCAGTCTGTGACCTTGAAGCTCACAATCTCTTGTCTCCTGGTCCTCTGAAGTGCAAAACTAGTTATGTTGGTATTACTGTCAAGTGGGTTTTTAGCTTTCATTCTTCTAACTTGTTTTCTGTTTCCTTTATCATCTAAATGGTACCTAATAATATTGCCTGCCTGTAATGACTGATGTTCCTTATGCTCCCAGCGTCACCTGGAGGATGGTGTCGGTAAGGCCTGAAAATCACGCATGTTGACAAACGTGTTTGTTCACATCAGTTGAGAGCTGCAGTTCCCTGCCTCATCCCCCAATTTGAAGAGGCAAGAAATGTTTTTGAAGTTAACTAAAGGTGTGTCTTCCAGCTTATCTCACATCTAGCTGCTTACATAGAGTGGAATAGTGGAAAGAAAAGTTGTGAAAGATTCTGGAACCCAAGTCCTTTTCAGACCAGTCTTGGAATGACCTTATACAATTCATCATCTCCATAAAATGAGCCTAGTTTCTCCTGAGAACTATGAGATAGATCCATAGTGTGGGATAAAAATATTAGTGCATAAAACTAAGTGATCTAAGGAAAGAGTAATTAATCAAATAGATTTCTAGTGAATACTCATGGATAGGCATCATTCAGTCATGTCACTATCCTTAGTCATCCATACTGAAATGTAGGTGGCAATCATGAAGTTACAAAATGTCAAAATTCTTTGGGATGGCATGGTATGTTCTAATATTGTTGTACAGTCATTGACAAAGTACGGAGAGAAATACACCTGAAGTACTTGAAGGCTATCTGTAGAAATCTTAAGTGCAGGCAACAAAGCTGCAGCTTTTGAGGTCCAGCCTGGTGGCCAAATGCTGTTATTCCAATAGGTGTAAGATCTCAGGAAGTAGGGAGTGAGCAAGTGCTCTGTGAAAGGAGAGCACAGCTGAGCGTCCTAGGCTGGGACTTAACCCATGTTGCAGATATGGAAACTAAGGATGATTCTGAGGTGGACCAGAACTGTGACCAGTGTGGCATCATATAGCCACATTGGTACTACCACTTGAAATGTATGTGAACCAGCAAGCCGTGTTGCCGATGTAAGTATCACTTTGTCTTAATGGCTGAGGAAGGAAGAGGGCTCTGCATTAGTCCTGCAATATTCTCAGTTAAAAGACATTCACTTGGTGAGCAGTTTACATAGCTTTGCTGCATTGACATGAGCTGTCCCCATCTGGATTTGGGGTTCCTAAATTATCCCCAAAAGAGCTCCTGCTGTCCAAAACCCCACCATTCCTTTAAAGAAACCAAAAATGTATTTTCTCATCTTTGTCTGGAACATAATATTAGTGATAAGACTTCAGTGTCACACTTCTTCAGAAATAATGACGGGGGGATAACCCAAGTGTGTGTTACATGTTATAGTTCATCAGGTTTATTAAATTTACCATTTTACCTATTAGGCACTCAGTAAATGGTGGCTTTGATTCCATGTGTATGTTCTCATTTACTCTTGAGAACAACTCTGGATGGATCCTGTTACTACATTTTACAAATGAGATTTGAAGAGGGAAATTTTCTCAAGGTCGAGCTGTAAAGTGAAGATTGCGGCTCTCAAGTCTAGAGCTGTCCCTTTAACTCAGTGATGATGGCCCATGAGGCTGAGGGGTCAAGTTTCTTTCTCGCATACTTTCTCATCCGTTAGCCATTGTCATCATTGGTGACTTAAGTTCTGAGCCAGTCACATAAGTGGGCTTACTGAACAAATAATTCCCTCTATTAGAAGTAAGTCATTTATGCCAAGTTTAATTAAAGATGGAATCTGCCACTTATGGGTCTTAGCTACAGCAGGGGAACATAACTGGATTATGCTTGGTCTCACATAGGCAGACTCACATCTGGATTGTGTTTGGTCTCTTAAAGACCAGTTTTGTTTTGTTTTTTTTCATTTATTTTTATTAGTTGGAGGCTAGTTACTTCACAACATTGCAGTGGGTTTTGTCTTACATTGACATGAATCAGCCATGGAGTTACATGTGTTCCCCATCCCGGTCCCCCCTCCCACCTCCCTCTCCACCCGATTCCTCTGGGTCTTCCCAGTGCACCAGGCCTGAGCACTTGTCTCATGCATCCCACCTGGGCTGGTGATCTGTTTCACTATAGATAATATACGTGCTGTTCTCTTGAAACATCCCACCCTCGCCTTCTCCCACAGAGTCCAAAAGTCTGTTCTGTACATCTGTGTAAAGACCAGTTTTGTTTTGGTTTTTTTTTTAGCTTAGGAAGCAAAGTATTAATTTGAGTTCCTGTTACGAATTGAGAAGTGCAAGACTGTTAAATTATAGTTTTAAGAGATTTTTTCTCCATATTGTGTTTAATATATTTTACAAGCCTGGAGACCCCCCAAGTTTCAGTGTTCAGGTTGGTCAGATTCTTCCAAGTGTCCAGGTCGAAGCCAGTTGAAACTGCCCCTCCTGCTCCTCACCCTGCAGTGGCGTCCCTTCCTTAGTGGTGGGTTTTGGCACTTCGCTGTGGTTGGAACCCGCTCAGCTTCTGAAGACTTCGGGGCTAGTGCCTCAGGGCAGTAGTGTGCAGTAACCCTGTTCAGATGGGGTTGTGTTTAATGCCTGTCATGGCCCGTGAAAATGTCTGCTTAAGCCCAGAGCAAGACAAAGGTGGTTTCTTAACGATACAAGGGTAGCTATTTTGACCGATAGCAAGCTTAGAGGGAACAGTCACTACCTGAACTCACCTGCTGTGAGCTCAAAGCCGGGTCCCTTCCTGGCCTTGCAAAACCTGCAGCTTCTCCCTGGTGAGGACACACATGAGCAGAATGACTGGCAGGGAGGCCAGTCTTCAAAGGAGATGGGAGGAGCTCCTTCCCAAATGGGAAAGGTTCAACAATCTCAAGGTTTTCAGGAAGCATCTAAGTAGGATTACCTGGGGTGAGGAGTGGGGCAGGAGAACCAGACAGAGGGGCTGTGAGCAGAGGTGGGGGAGTCCCTCAAAGCTGGCGTGGCCATGTGAAGACTTAGTGTCGGCGGGGGTGTGCTGCACTGGGCACAGCTGGCCCAGTGGACATCTCATGATGGACATGAGAGTGTTGGAACCAACATTGGAGCAGAAAGAAGGTTGAGAATCCTTGTCTATGTCTCTTCTGTCTTGAGAATTCCGTATCTAGTCTTTCTGCTCCTGATTAGCTCTTTGGAAACTTGTGATCCTAGAGATGCAGGAAGTCCTCTTTGCTGAATCCGAAGGTGGCTGTCCCGCCTGGCTCGTCTGAGGGTTGGTTGGGACCAACTGTTCTACTTTCCTGCCCTGCATTGCGTTGCCCTCAGGATCTACCCCTCTCAGTGGGTGACCAGACTTGTCCTTAAGTATCCTGGCTCCTGTATTTTGGAAGTTGAAGTGTTGAGAATTCGCACTAACAAACATTAGCGAAGGTTATTTGCAATAAGTATCAATAGCCAAGACTGGCTGTAAATCTTGTTTTACAACAGGCCATTGGATTTCAGTTCAGTCTATAATTTTCCAATCTGGGGAAAACGCCCACTTTTCTTTAGATATCTGATCAAGTAATAAAGCTATCTTCCTCCCATAAGTTTCATTTTATTAGCCAAGTTGTAATCCAGGAGTATTAAAAAACACTATATTTAAACATATGCAGTTGTTTCCTAGTTAGGCCCTGGCTGGGGTTCTGAGAACAATGCTTGTTTAGCTGTTAGTCACACTCAGCTGATGCTGATAGTGATTCATTCAGACTGGCAGGCGACCAGGTGATTGTTACATAAACACTGACACTCCTAGGCAGTAGTGTTTCTTGTGAAGGTGTCATTACAAATATTGCCCAGTAGCCTTTTTTGGCGGTTTATTCTGGATGGAGAAGGGATCAGACCTGTGGATTCCTGGGACCCACAGATAGACCCACACATTATAGTACTGACCTCAGGCCTTAACCACACCTGTTGTTATTGCTCAGGAAAAACAGAATCCTAGGGTTTTAGAGCTGAAGAACTCCTTGGAGGTTGTTTGGGCTGGCTTCACTAATTTGACTTTTGATGCCCAGAAAAGTTGTGTTCTGTTGAAGGTCACACAACTAGCTCAGGCTGTGTTCCAGATGTCTTAGGATTTTTCTGAATAATGATACTGCCTTTTGTACAAACACTCTGTGATATGTAAATATTTCAGGTATTCACTCAATTTTAATGATATACTCTGGGGACGTATCTTGAGGTGTCTTTGCAGTAGTCCAACAAAGGCAGTTTTATTGGTCACAGGGTGAAGTATATTATACAGTGACTCCTTACAGATGTCATTTGCCTTAGTTGGGATTTGCTTACTGGAAGATCTGAGGAGCTTTCTCAATTCTGTTGTTGCCTCACATTTTGTTTTATACAATATTGTCCTAGAAAAGTGTCATTCTAAAAGATTCAGGCATTCTGAGATTCATCATAGTATTTGAGATAGAATTTTGATTTATATGGGTTGCTTCCATAAAAGGCCAAATTATCAGGAAAATATAAAATCTTTTTATACTTGTAGTAAGGCGATATGAGTGTGTGAGTGCCTAAAGGCAGTCCTTGGAGAACACCAGTGGGCTTCCAGGTCTTGAAGGACCTGGGAATGTGGATGAGTAGAGAATAGGGGATCACTTCAGACCTGTGTGGACACCATTCCTGTCTGTGTGATGGTACTGAGGAGCCCAGCTTGTGGGCAGCCCTCCTGGGGAATGTCGGGGAGGCTTGCAGCTGAAGACACTGGAGAATGCAGTGTGGTTGGGTTGAGGGACTGGGCAGAGGGGAGGCCACCCCGGCTGAGGGCGTGTAGCAGAAGAGGAAGGGTCCTGGGGATTGGGAAGTGGGGGAAGCTAGAAGAGGGAGGGTGTTTCTATTTTGTCTGGTATTTGTTGAGGAGGGAAGTGCTGATAGACAATTGCTTGTTTCACTTTTTAAGAACTTGGCACAAGGCCTGCCTGAATTACGAATCTCTCGAAGTTCTTCTAATATTTTTGAGTTGGTGTCTGTCTCTTCTGTTAGACTTCAGTCTCCCTTGAGATAGGGTCCTTGTCCAATTGGTTTTTCTTGAGTGGTTTCTCTGTAATCCTGTTGCATTTTGGATATTTTTTATCCATATTGTGAGGCATGTGGCTTCTTAGTTCCCTGACCAAGGGATTGAACCCGTGCCCCTTGCATTGGGAGCATGGCGTCTAATGATGGGATCACCAGGGAAGTACCACATAACCCTGTTTTTCAGGAGGGTTGTTGATGGGATTGAAGGGAAGATCTCTCCCAGGTTTTCGAACTTGGGTCTCAGTGTTTATCTTTTGGGGATGTTGCAGGTGACTGAACTTAATGAACCTCTCTCCAATGAAGACCGAAACCTCCTCTCCGTGGCCTACAAGAACGTGGTCGGTGCCCGGAGGTCTTCCTGGAGGGTCATCAGCAGCATTGAGCAGAAGACCATGGCTGACGGGAATGAGAAGAAGCTGGAGAAGGTGAAGGCCTATCGGGAGAAGATTGAGAAGGAGCTGGAGACGGTGTGCAACGATGTGCTGGCGCTGCTGGACAAGTTCCTCATCAAGAACTGCAACGACTTCCAGTACGAGAGCAAGGTCTTCTACCTGAAGATGAAGGGCGACTACTACCGCTACCTGGCCGAGGTGGCCTCTGGCGAGAAGAAGAACAGTGTGGTGGAGGCCTCAGAGGCGGCCTACAAGGAGGCCTTCGAGATCAGCAAGGAGCACATGCAGCCCACACACCCCATCCGGCTGGGCCTGGCCCTCAACTTCTCCGTGTTCTACTACGAGATCCAGAACGCGCCCGAGCAGGCCTGCCTCCTCGCCAAACAGGCCTTCGACGACGCCATAGCCGAGCTGGACACACTAAACGAGGATTCCTATAAGGACTCCACGCTCATCATGCAGCTGCTGCGAGACAACCTCACCCTCTGGACGAGCGACCAGCAGGACGAGGAAGCCGGAGAAGGCAACTGAGCGCCTTGGCCCGCCCCGCCCCCGCCCCTTCACCACCAGCCCCTCCTCGCCACACTCACTCAGTATCCAGTGCTCAACCTATCTGTACGGCAGCACAGCTACTCAGACCTGCTCTCCGCCCCGGGAAGCAGTTCCAGATAAATCAATTCATGGGCATTGCTGGACTGACGGTTGCTTTGAGCCCACAGGAGCTCCCTTTTTGGATTGTGCAGACAGGTGCGTTCTGAAGGAGGCATTTTCGTTTGCTTGCCTGTCTAGGTGAAGTGCAGGCGAAAGCCACAGAAAGTTAGAGAGGAGAATTAGCCACCCAGGCTACAGTTGGTATTTAAATGGTCCACTTCAAACCAGCTGCTAGTGTTTTGTTAAAGCAGTACATCTGTGCATGCAAAAGTGAATTCACCCCTCCCTCTTCTTTCTTAGCTAATGGAAACCCATTAAGGGAAGCCGGGACGAGAGACCACTTGCTCCTTTCCATCAGCTTAATAATAAACTTTAACGTGAGGTTTCAGTAGCACCTTGTTCGCCTCTTTAAATTATGACGTGCACAAACCTTCTTTTCAATGCAATGCATCTAAAGTTTTGATACCTGTAACTTTTTTTTTTTTTTGGTTGCAATTGTTTAAGAATCATGGATTTATTTTTTGTAACTCTTTGGCTATCGTCCTTGTGTATCCTGACAGCGCCATGTGTGTCAGCCCACGTCAATCAAGATGGGTGATTATGAAATGCCAGACTCCTAAATTAAATGTTTTGGAATTCAGTGGGTAAATAAAAATGCTGCTTTGGGGATATTACCTCTACGTGTATGGTCTTCATTTCTCTCACTCTTGACAGCTCCCCACTCTGAATCCTGACTTGATCTCTCCAAACTCCAAAGCATTTCTGGAATAGGGAGTCTGTGCCTCCTGATTCCATCACAGGTTTTGCAGCATACACGTTAGACTCATGAATTCTAAGTAGTTTTCTCTGAACCCAGCTAATGTGGCCTCTCTGGTCCCCTCCTCCTGTTGCTAGTTCCTTTAAAGGGAAGACCCTAGTGCGTCTTCTGAGGCACAGCCCCTCTGGAAGGTGGGTCTGTGTCTGACTTTGAGGGTGTAGCTCCAGCCACCCCACAGAACATTGGTTGCTTTTTAACACACAAAGTAGGTACTTGTTCACCATTTTTCTTAACAGTTTTTCTGCACTGCGTGGAATAAAATGTTAGTTAGGGACACAGCTTGGATACCCAGTACAATCTTGAGCAATCATTATTAAGAAAGCTCTGAGTATTCTTTAAAATAGGGTAACAAAACTCCCTCTGAGTTTTAAGAACAAGAAAGGCCTGGCCCCTAGTATACTCCCCCTGCCATCTGCCTCCACCCCAGGCCACTCCTGAAGCCCTGTGTCACCAACTGGACCCTTGAACTCCAGCCCCTTATGATTTCTGGCACTGCCAGCCTGGTACGCGGGGCCGGGTATGCTTGTCGAGCGGGTTGGTTGACTGAGGCTGAGCACTAGACTGGTGGCGGTGGCCATGCCCAGTCTCGTCCTTGGTCCTACATTGCGGTGGGGCACAGAGCAGCATGGACACTTAACCTGTTTTCTCATCCTGATATGACCCACATGCTAATGAGTAGTCCTTAGGAAGCTATTTCAGGTTGACCTAATTGCTAGCAAAAATCATTACTGAGTTTTGCTTCAATTAGTAGGTCACGTGTTTTAAAGCTACAAGCTTTATGTGGCTAAGGTACTTGGCTTTGATGAAGATACTTCAAACATTATAACTTCTTACATTAGGAATGCACCTCACAAAAAGGGATTTAGAAAAAGCAATCACGTTTTCACTTCACAGCCGTCTTAATGAAAAGTTTTGTTCCCTTACAGGGGTAGGAAATAGGTGCAGAGCTGGCGGACCTCTGGAATCAGCTGGCGCCGCAGGCAGCCTCTGCCCATGACCTAAGGCTGTCTTAGTCCACAGTCTCTAATTCAGAGTCCTAACTGCCCTCTGGTGGGCCCCAGGCAGCTGACAACCTTCAAGGTTCAGGTCCCTCATCGAATTTGGAGTAAAAGTTTTAATTCAACTCTTGAGTACCATGTGCAAAGCATCCGCTTGGGTCTGGAGACAGGGTGTGGGGAAGTAGGGACGCATAATTCCAGTCAGCCCCACAAGTAATAAACAGGGTTCTTTGAGAGGACCTGAAATTACACGTGATGTAAAGCTGAAAGCACCTCTGTTGTGTGGTCTCAAAGGCTTCCTTCCAGTTCTGCATGCTCTGATGTTTTAAAACTTGTCAAGATCAAAGAAAAAAGAAAAAAAAGCTTGTCAAGATAAATTTATGGAATGAAACAGGGTCATCTCAGTGTTACTGCAGGGGAAATGAGACCAGAGAAATGAATAGGGTTGCACTGCAAAGTTAGTGCCAGAACCTAGATAAGCGTTCAGATCCCCGGAATCCTTGTTCATGTTTTTTTTTTTTTTTTCACTGGGCTACAGTCTTGGGGTTGAGAAGAAAAAATGGATGTCACACACATCTTGTTCTGGGTACACTTTTCAGTGCTTTTAATATTTCACTTACAGTTCAACGAATTACACTTGGCAAGGAATATCTCAGTGTATTGGTGCTATGCTTAGATTTTCAATAACTCCTCAAACCCTGCTCAAAGGTCCATTTGTTTGATTTGGAGGAAAGGGGAGGATTCTTGATAATGGCGCTATTGTGGGGATAAATACTTGGCCATCTCAGATCACTTGGGATTGGGGAGCTCAGGGCGCTGCTTGGTTCTGTAAAGTAGGCTGCATTCCACTGTTGGGCCCTGCCAGAGGCCGAGGGAGTCCTCCGTTCTCAGGACACCCCCCTGTCCCTGCCCCCAGCTATGGGGCAGGCACAGGCACTGAGTCGCAGCTGGGTGGGACTGAATAGATCATCTGCTACAGAACGCAGATGTTAGGCTGATGGGCACAACCATTTTGAACACCTGTGTTCCAGACACTAAGTATGTGGTCTCTGCGTCTTTACAGAGACCCTGGAAGATAGGAATGGTTTCCTCATGGCTTGTGGGAAAACGAACTTGACACTGGATTCCTTCATCTTTAGCTCCCCTCTGGGCTCCTGTACTGTGGGTCTGCACCGCATGATGGCATTTATCACCTGTCTTGTCAACAACCCATTACCTACCATGTGGTAGGCACTGGTCAGGGTGCTGGCGGTGGATACCTTGGTGAATTACCTGTCCTTCTGGGGCTAAAACTAGTGGGGGGATACAATACAAACATAAAATAATACAATAACTATAAAGATGTCACTCAAGTTCTCAGGGCCTAGCACACAGCTCAGGGTAAGAATTTGTTGACTTCATGAGTAAATGACTGACCTGAGACCAAAATTTTGAAAAGAAGTGAACAGAAGGAATCCTTCACTTCCACACCCAAATCTACCAATGAGCCACTTAAGAAACAGGGTCGGGATTTCCCTGGCAGTCCAGTGGTTAAGACTCCATGCTTCTAGTGCAAGGCACATGGATTCGATCCCTGGTCAGGAAACTAATATCCTGTATGCCTAGTGGTGTAGCCAAAAAAAAAAAAAGAAAAGCCAGAGTCATGAGTCCTTGAGCTTAGTTCTAACATCACCTATAAATTGGTTTGAGCATGTCCTGACCTCTCAGCAGCCTCTAAAACCGAGGCGGATGCTTGGGGTGGTCTCTGGGTACTTTTGCATTTTGGAGATTCTATGATTCTCTGTTATTTTCAACTGCTCTGGGATGGTCCCCATCCTCTTCCTGGCGTTTTTCCTGCTCTCCCCCTCCCTTTTCCTTCCGCCCTTCACATTTGTCCCTATTGCATCCGCCCTCCACACACACACCCCCCCCTTTGCTTTCCTGGCCACCCCCTAGTTCCACCAAGAGGGTTTCCATGGCAATCATCTCCTGGAAGTGACATCACTCATCTCCTCGGCAACAGTTTCTAAGGCAGTGACATCATTCAATCACCATGGCAACCCTCCAGGAGGATAGTTCTGCAGTAAAATGGGCAAATAGAATTCTTATGTATTTCTGGGGGCTTGTGGGGGCAATGTAGGGAGCCATTACAAAGATCTCAATAACCAGAAGTAAAAGCTTTGGGCCTGTAGGGAAAAAAATGGGAAGCCAATGTGGGGGCTGGAAAAGAAGCTCTGGGATAAAGCCCTTCTACTTTCTAATAACTAGGCTGACCATTTACTATGTCACCAAATTGGGACACTGGGGAGTAAATAAGGGCACAGTGGTTATTACACTGGATGAAACAGGTGAAAACTGGGCCTCCCACAGTGAACCAGGGCATGTGGCTCCCGCCTAGGTCAGGCTAGTCCCTGGCCTTACTTCCTCAGCTATGGCTCATCCCACAAGCATGGATTCTGCTCTTCGGTATGTAGGCACCGGGTATACCACAGTGAGCAAAACCCACCTAACAGAACTCACAGTTGTGTGTGTGTGTGTGTGTGGTGGGGGCTGAGGTAACACGCAGTCACCAGGTGAGTGCTGCAGTGCAGACTGAATGCAGTGCTCGGAAGGGAGGGCCCAGAGCACCAGGGGTGTGTTCAACACGGGTGGCTGAAGCAGCTGTGGCAGGAGGGGACTTAGTAAGGGGGGGCGGGATGGCATAGGTGGGGAGAAGTCTGTTTGGCAGAGGGAACAGCATCTGCAAAGGGAGTGTGCAGAGCACCGAGAATGGAAAGAAGCTGTGTCAGTCTGCAGGGCTGGAGGGAGTGGGCAGGCAGGAAATGAGAGCGGAGAGGTGACCAGAGCGCTGGGCAGCCCCGTGGATGTGTTTAGAGGAGCAGGAGACACAGTCCTGTTTGTATCTTCAAAATCTGGTTGCAATGTGGGGCAGAGTAAGGGAGCAGTTTGCCTAGGAGGGAGATTGGCGCGGGGGAGCTGGGTGATGGCAGGCAGGTGGAGGATAAGGAGCATATATTTTGGAGACAGAGCTGACAGGATTTCCAAGGGCCACCTTCTTCATCTTCGCCGCTGTCATCTGTGCTTTAGGGCCCTTCCGCAGGCTGCTCTCCCCAGGAGGAATGAGCTTCGTGCCTCAGCTTCCCCTTCTGTAAAATGGGATAATGACAGTAGGAGTTCCCACCCCATTGATTTGTGCTGAGGCTGAATGAAGTGAGTAAAGTGATCAGAATGGTCCTCCAGTATAGACTGGATCGATGGGTGTCGGCAGCTATTGGGATGAGGGCAGGAGGGCAGGAGTGTGGGGTGTGCATGTGACACACGGCCTGTGGGATGGAGGTGGGAGAAGCGGGGCAAGGACAATGAGGACTGGCTGATGGCCGAGGGAGAAGCCTCCTCCTCACCAGCTGGCTCCCGGGAAGACAGCACAGTTTGCACCCCTCCTTCCAATCCTACGCTTGCTGCAGGGGGAGGAAGATGAGCCTGGCCTCCCTTGGGAAAAGGGCATCTTAGAAAAAGCCTGGAAACAAGCAGTTCACACACATGAGGCTAAAGCCTAGGGGCAGGGGTGGTGCAAGGGAGTAAGGGATCTGCACCCAGGCACCTGCCCCATCCACCTCCCAGTCGACGCCCCCCCCTCCCCCCGCCCTGCTATTAAACAATCATGGTTTTACTTTAGCCTCCAGCTATTGCCAGGAAAAATATCTATAACCTCAGATATGCAGATGACACCACCCTTATGGCTCTTGATGAAAGTGAAAGAGGAGAGTGAAAAAGTTGGCTTAAAGCTCAACATTCAGAAAACTAAGATCATGGCATCTGGTCCCATCACTTCATGGCAAATAGATGGAGAAACAGTGGAAACAGTGGCTGACTTTATTTT